TCCAAGTCAAGTCTAAATAGCATTTTTTAAATTGTTCCCTTATGAAACACGTGCGGCCTGTGTCGAACTTAATGTAAACAGGGGTTTGTGGCATTCTCTGACCATTAAAGACCTGATTAGATGCTTCAGAATTTCGCGAGACGAAGTCTGACATTGTCGACAGGGCCCGCTCTTAAGTGCAGGCTCAAGGTCGGGCAGAATTTTCAAGACGAATTGAGGCGAAGCATGGCACAACTTAGGGAAGCGTTCTCACATTCGGGATGGAATTCTTTACTTATTTACAAAACTTGTCTTCACAGAAACCATGCAGTAAGATAGGTAAGATCGGTCATTTTTAAAGACTACTTCCTGATGCATAGTTCCCCAATTTGCTTAAACTCGCATTCGATTGCAAATGGTTTGTGGCAGTCGATGTGTGTATGTGCTTCATGACCATTTAACCGATTGTGACCCTGCGGAAAGTTTGGCCTGGCCCTGGATTTGGATCCACACGAGGACCCTCCCCCCATGAAGTGAACATCTACTTTTACAGAAAGGTTTATTCGAGAAAAAAAATGCATTTTTTTTCAGGATGCGTGTGGTTACGAAAATCATGTAAATTTACCTATCATAAGGTTCGGGTCCTTGTCAGTGGTATGGCATGCTATATACGCCTTTATATATATATAGAAACAGACACGGAACCTGACCTAGAAAGGCGCGCGAGTCCACACTTTGCCTTAATAAGGGGGAGGAAAGTATTAGGCATTCCCCCCTCTGCTCCACATCATCACCTTATGCATAATAACTTTGCGAGTCGGTTATAATGGTTGCGTGCCCCTAATTTGTCACCTATCGACGCAACCTACGACTGAACTTCCCGACTAATCGTGGGATTAAGTCAGACACGCGAAACCGGATTAGATTACACAATATTCCGGTTATATTTCTAAAACTGCCCTGAACTTGTGCTTAATTTTAACCAAACCTCAGCGCACATAACTTGCCACGATTAAAAGCAACACTGATGTTAAACTCATTGATTGATTTGGAAAAGAACTTTCAAGGATTTTCGGGTAGTGATCTCTCAAGTGACTTTCATTCATACAAACTAATACGTCTTCCACACATTCGTCTTTGGCTTCATCAGCACACTCCTATGGATTTCATGAAACGGCGTCCAGTTAAGATAGCATGTGGCATCTTCTTCGAACGAGACCTTGACTGAGTCTCACCAGAACAAGGTGCGAACTTATGGCAGACACAAATTCACGGCATAAGTCGTGGTGATACCCACACGACAGCGCTGCTTTATTACATCATCATGTGGGAGAGCAAAAGTCTCGTTTATCGATTCTTTTAGAAGCAGACAGTCTTTTATCATCAGAAAATGCATTGTCTAAGGAGCAGCCAAGGGTAGATGACAAATGAAGCCATTTTTAACACTTTCTTGCACAAATGAATGGAAAGTACTGAATCATTAACTAGGGACAGTTGTTTAATCTAGGCGGAGGGAGGTTACTTTTCATGATGGTCATAGAGATTTCGGGGATTAACCAAATTATGTCAAATCATGCACTACGTGGTCACTTCTGTTATCGATTCAAAAAAACCTCACAATTTCTAGATCATGCCACCTTTACACGTTTAGACATTTTGACTGTTGTTAAACACTGTCGACCATTATTAACTGCTGAAACTAGATAAGGAGCCATGGCTTATGTTGCACGTGTATTTAATGCTGCAAACCAGCCACATTTCGTCGTGTGTACGGAATATCCATCAGTGCAGTGGTAGCCCAGCAACCTGTCTCAGCAGTAGCCGAAATGCAGACATCACAGTCATTAAGACGTCCTGAGGTGATCGTCTTGACCCGGTTACTGAAAAAAAGAAATAATCCATGATCATTTCGATCATAAAATTTGGCCGACAGATCGTTTACCTTCAATCGATGTGGTCATAATTCTTTAATTCACTGTGTTGCTAAGCTGGGTTTGAAATTAATTTCAACCCAACAACGCTACCGGTTTCACAGTTGCAAGCCTTCATTTTAAATTTTCCTTAATACACAAAGAGAGGCGTGGTGTGTCTATTCCGCCCTGAATTTGCACATTAAAGTATTACTAGCTTATAATGCATTTCAAGACTTCTCGTGATTTGAGCGTCCCACTAGCCTCTCAAATTCTGACCACAGTTTCGGAATTGGCACTTCTCAACGAATTCAGATGCGGAAACACCAAATCACTACTGTATGTACAGTGGCTGGCTTGTGCGAAGTCAGGGACAGCAACTGTTTGTTATATCAAATGATGAAGGCCTTGGCTTATGGTCTGACATATTAGGATAAAATGAAGAAAACTAATTGGTCATAACTAGTGGCAAATTCCATTAGTGTAAAAAAAGTTTATTGTTAGTTGGTTAGCATTTTAGTTTTACTTTAGATCAAAAAAACTGTTAATTAAATAGGTAATTTTAATTGCACACATCAATGTTGACTGTACTTGACTTAAAAATCGATCGAACACACGCGCGACGTAAGTCTTTCGATTTTCGTTATAATTTACTGTTCATATGAAAATTTAAAACGTTTAAAAACATCTCTAATGCGTTCAAGAAGCGTATTCCCTACATTTTTTCAGAATAATGCGAATCTCGGAAAAAGCACATTCTTCATCATTCGGTCTTGAGCTACAAGAATATTGTCGTCTTTTTTGTTAACTAACTTTTCACACTTCGCAGGTTTAAGTCAAAATATCTGTGGTAGTAACCAGGGTTGTTATTCTCTGTGGTAGTTTTCTTCCTCACCTCGATCTTCTTTTAACTATTAGAATGATCTCAGATAGCTTAGGTCACCGATATTTAGTTTGTTTGTCCACATACAGGTGAATTGCTGCAGGCTGTTTCTAAAATCCCCCAACAGCAAACAAGTAGATTAGTCACCAACCAGTCAATTTCAAGACCAGTAATCTCACACGCAGGCGATGCTTGACTTAGTTCAATTCATTTGGTTCGAATTACCTTAAGGTAGAAGTTTTATCTTTTTTTCCTGAGTACTAGTACATTTAACCGCCATTTGTTCTTCGCTTTATATTGACTCGCATACTTTATTCGTTTTTTGTTGATTTTGTACCGTTGTAGAGGGATTACTACTAGTCTGCTAGTTTAAAGTCGTTCGGTTTAATCGCACCCGCTTGGTAGCGTGTGTGATAACACGTCTTTCCCGCGAAGTTCGTGGGCTTCGTGGAATTTCACGTTCCACACGAGGTGGCAAGTCGCATCGACAGCACGCGGCTGCTTCGTGGAGGAGCGAAAATCCGTGAGCCGTTTACGCAGCTGGCATGAACTTCACTGAAACGTTGTGAAAAATGAATGGGGGGTAAAAGTGTTGTGGTTTGCGTACGCCGCGATGCTCAAACCTGTCCGCACAAAAGACCCTGTTTGTGGGAGAAAATTATCGCAGTTTAGTGAACTTGGTAACTCCCACCCTCCCCCCCACCTCCATTAAGTCGTTGGGATGCTTTTTTGAATTAATGAAACAAAAATTGACCGAGCAGCCCCACACGACCCTCGATTTGCGAAAACAACACTCCGTCCATTCTGTGGGAGGCACAGATGAGGGCATTAGCGAAATGTAGCCTGTCGTGCGTCAACGCGTAGCCAGGGCTAGGGGGACACAGGCATGCATGGCAAGTAAACCGGCTTTCAGACACGTTGAAACTTGTCTGACGCGCCCGTACAAATTGACGCCATGATACAAAGGCGAAACAACCCACGAAAGTTTGGAAAAGGGAGCTGTCTCGGTTTACCCTGGACCGTGCCAAACCCACAAACCAACGCTAATTGTCAAAAAAGCTACAGTAGTTTTGACCCCAGATTGAAATTCAGACCGTTTCAGTAGTGTTGAGCATTCTAGAAGGCAACTTAGCTGTCTGTACTTATTGAGCCAAAGTTTAATGGTTGCAATGGGAACAGTAGGGTGCTAAATTAGCGCATTAGTAAAATCTACCACGGAACACACGTGTTGTACCCATGACCATATCTGTCAAGTTAAACTAATCTCTAGTAGGTTGAATTTACTATGGTTGCAAAAGTGGCGTAGTTGATCTCTTCAGGGTTTCGACCTAAAACCAATTGAGTGACTCAATGAGGCAGGTGCTGGGAAAGAAAGCTGATATAAGTGAACTGCTTTTGTAGACGAGCTGATTCGTCGTTTAGCCTTGTAGAATTAAAGACTAACGTTTCATTTACGGGAATGTTCCACTCAAATTAGCTACTCCACTATATTTTAACGGAGTACTGTAGTCATCTGCACGGTAGAAAGTAACTAGGACGAGAAAAATAAATGCGCACGTGTAGCAACACAGCTAACATGTCAGTAAATAAGCCCCCCTGCTTAGACACGAAACCATCCAGGAACATAAAACAAACCTTTTGCTGGCCCTACACTCGTGGCTTTGATTTTGAAAATATGAGCGTGACGACGTCAGGTTCCTGAAATTTACTATCTTAACGATCCGACGCAATAGCACGCTGATAAAACTCACCTCACATAACGGTAGCACCAGTCAAACATAGCAAGATGCCATCTGGTGCCTTCTTTCAGTTAGAAATACCCGCTACGATGTCTACAACCGACCCAAGGAAACAGCAAACCTAGACTGTAGGCGGCTTCTCCCACCTTTTTACTCCAATTCTTTCACTTAAATTCTATTGGTTCCGAGCCAATGTCCCCTTTTCTGTATTCCTATTGGCTAGTTGGATTTGACGTTTTAATTGGTGGATATCCCTGCTTAAGAGATCCAATCAACGCAAAACTAGATCGTGGGTATAAATTGCTCACAAACTTGCGAACTCGCACAGTTCCGTTGTTCGAGCTTATGTCGTTGTCCTCTCTCAGTAGGTGGATGCCATGTTGACAAGAACTCGAAGGGCTACGGTGGTGCCCCCCTCTGGTAGCAGTCTAGAGGCAAGTAATTTTATGGCTTTCAAGCACACGCTCCGCGATATTTTTAACCAATAGAATGCTTCAGTATCCGAAACTCCTTACTGGTGAGGGGCGCTTTTTACATTCGATGTATTTTATGTCATTGATGATTGTGTTGCTGTGTAAATGATATTGCTTAAGGGTTGTAATGATATCGAGATGTTTGTTTAGGTAGTTCTCGGCGCTTATGCTGACAGGCTAGCAGCAACGTCGATAGACGTGAGTCATGTTGATGTATTCAGTCGCCAAAGGCCCAAGCAGTTCTTTGATCTTTGCAAGTTCCACTTGTCCCTCCTCGTTGATCTCCCAGTTGAATTTAACTACTATGATCCCCAATCACTTGATGAAGTATGCCCAAGTTCACAGACCTGCAAGCGCCGTAGGCCACGCCACTGGGCTAAGTTCGCTGCTTCCATGAACCAGACCCGCAAGCCAGGTAAGTAAGTCTTACGGTGATATATAGTGCTGGTGCTCATCCGCTGCATACCCGCATTGTTCAGCTCTATAATCTTAATGAAACTCGGTTTTACTGACTTCCGACAACTTCATCTTGATGTTAATCCAAGGAGACATCAGTTATTCGATTTCATGAATCTCTAAACTATCTACAAAATCTGTACCCCATATTATCTGATGGATTAGTAATGAGGCTTTAACTTGGAAGTGGCAGTGACGTGGGTATTTGTGGGTTTCCAATTTTGTCTTTTGTGTCCTTTAGAGTCATGTGGCATGACATCCAATCATAAAACCGCTGATGTCTACGCTAACGTTATCAAGCTCATGGACCACCTGTCAAGTGGAGATTGTAAGTGTGCGTTTCATTTCAATTTCTTCGCGTAATTTTCTTGTTCATGTAGGGTTTTCGTCCATTGATTTTTAGATCTTAAGACCGAGATGATATTCCGCAAGAGCGGGAATATCGTTCGTCAGCGTGAACTTCGTAGAAGAGTTCTCTCCTGTGTGAATGTTCATTTCCCCAATTGCATTACCGACTCCTTAGCTTACAAGGGTGCTGCAGCACCATCACTCGTTTCGTCATGGAGACAAAAATCACGCCTTAAAGTATGTAAAGCACGGGTTACAAACGAAACGTCAAAAACCGAAACCAGTGATTTCAAAGCTCATGATTACGCAAACACGTTGAAAAATGTCCTCCGTGAAATGCGTGAGCCCATTCTAACCCAGGATCTTCTCCCTATCTTCATTTCGGTGTCAAGTAAGTTATTTAAGCTTGGACACTAATTCCCCTCATTCGCTAGTTTCTTACTTGTTATCTTTTTATAGAATTGACTTCCGGAAATATGAATGACCGGGGTGAACGCGTTCCCCTACGTCCGATGGATCACCGCGTTGCACAGGCGAAACAACTCAAAGCCATACGAATCCTGCGGTTCCTGTTGCCTGAACGCAATCAGCGGCTGCTGCGTCGCCTTCTCGACCTCTTAACTCAGACTCTTCTACTAAATCAGTCCAATCACATGTCTGCCGAGAGTTTGGGCACAATTTTCGGTCCACTTCTTTTGGCTCCGGCTTGTGTAAGTTCGTTAATCGGTAAATGGGATCGAGGTTCCTCACATAATTTAGCAACCTTTTCCCTTCGTTTAGGTTTCCCCTTCTGAGATTCATAAGCAGTACGGCGTTCTAAATAATCTGACAACTCTTATGATCGAACAAGGCTCGGAGGGCGTCTTCGCGGTCCCACTTACTCTTTCGGAGGATATAGACAGGAATCTGCAAGCTGATGGACATTTCAACTCACGTTCCTTATCCCAAGACTCGGGCGTTGACACTTGCTCGACGTCCCCGTCTGTCCAGGATGAAAACGAAGCCGAAAACGCGGATCAAACTGTCCTCTATACTGGTCTGATGTTTGCACAAAAGTCCACGAACAGGGAGCAGGATGAAGGCGATCCTTCAGTTGCTGCTGGATTGTCTTTGACTGAATGCGCTGTGGCCGAATTGTGTGCGACAGTTCAGGCTCTTCCTAAATCTGACCCCAGAAAGGCTCGCTTAATTCAGAGAATAAATAATTCTAATGGCGGCCTTACGCCTCGCCAACAGGCCCGGAATAAGCGTGTGAGAGAGGTGGTTTCTACCTTCTCATCGACTCCCGAGTCGCTTTGTCACACGCCACTTAAGCGCTGCAATCCAACCGACACTCAGGATTTGGTAGGTTATGAAGATGTTTTGCGCCCCGTGTGTTGGTTGTGAGAACGTATAATAGTTTTGTTTGTTTTTTTGGCAGACAGGTGACACGCCTGTTAGTGTGGCAGTAAAACGGTCGTGCTTAGAGTCCATCGACGCACCCGAGGTCAGGAGCCTCGATCAGGCTTCTGCGACCACTTCCTCTTCCAGCATCGGATCAACCCTCACCACGCCCCTCTGTTGTCCGCTTATTGGAGTCCTGACATCGTCCCTCAAAAGTCAAAATCAGACAAAGCCTGCTCGCCATCGGACCCTCCCTCGAACAGCCAGTTCCCGGAAAAAGACAAACAGTCCAATATTCAGTGAAATGGGAACTCCGTTTAGCCTGAGCATTTGCACCGAGTCCGAATGTTTAGAGCAGCAGGATGTGGTAGGTGTCGTTTTAATGCGCTTGAATTTTAACCGTTTGTATTTACTGTCCTCAACTTCGTTATAGCCCACCGAAACGGAGAATACCTCAACCATAGCTGTTCCTCGTCAGACGACATGTCTGCTCAGCATGCGTGTAAGGAGGAACTACAATTGTGCGAGTATCGAGAAACCCGACTTGCCGACGTCAGATGTTAGAACTTCTTTAAAATTGACGAATTCATTTTGAGCCAACATGACATTATAAATAATTATATTATCAGCAATGTAAATATAATTTTCTGCCATCTTATTTAAACCCGGTTGTTTTTTGTCCACTTGTTGACATATTGTAGCTAGTTTTTTGGGATGACTGCTTCTTTGGGGAACACTTAAGGCTTCGACATGGGGGTGTGATGACACCTATAGACGTTGTGGTGGGCCAGTGCGTGGGTTTTAGGTAAATGGATGGGATGTGGTTGAAAATCTACGGAGGTGGACTGTCGTATCCGGCGAATTTGTAGCTAAGGCGGGTGCTAACAACGCTCCATTTCGCGGGTGGACGTGAGAATTTCCTGCGTTGAGAATCATCGAGGTTGTGCAGGTGGTTTCTGCATATAATCTTTACAGACTAGAAGGATATCCATTCACAAACGTAGATTCGCGAAATTGACACGAACCTAGTGACTTGGCATTCGAAAATGTCAAAAAAACAACATTGTTATCATATCTTAAAAACGGAAACTGGACATTCGAATGTGGTTTCTTATATCACCGAGTTTGCCCGTTTTGTTCTGTTCATGAACTTAACAAACAGCAGATGCTATTTTTGATCGACCAATCGTGGGATGGCGGTCCAGTGTTGGCGAGACATCGTATTGATCGTGTCTGCCTTCGCGCCTCATGCCTGCTGCCAGTGCTGATGTGTTCGACTGGTACGCCGATGAAGTGCAGAAACCTCATGGATGAGCTGATTACGGTCAGTGCGGTTGGCGCCCTCGCGAGACTTGCTGCGCGTCGAAAAACATTTTCTACAAAAATTAGCTTGACTTTAGTTCATCGCAGTGAGAAACCTCGACTGAAAACGATGAATCCCTAAATTTCCAGCTTAAGTTTGCCACATGGTGTTTTATTCTACCACAGCTGAAAGTTGACTTTCACGTTCACTGACAAGTAAAGCCCCAGTTATCGGATTGCATTTAGAATTAGTTGATTTGCTCTTCTTTTTGAACCCATAGTACCATTTTTTCCATTTCGAAGAATTGTAGAGAAGTGGCAGTGCATTTCTGCTTACCACATTACAAATTGGCTGCATACGGCCGGGAAACAAAGATACTGCTCACGCTGTGCTCCTGTTGGCTATGCGAATACGCCGTATCTATCAACGGTAAGATAAACGAAGTTTCCTTAATGGCATAGACTGTGGGCAAAGGCGGTAGTTCAATGGCAGCACAAAGCAATATACCAACAGAACTCAACAGTTTATGGAATTTATCAACACAAACGGCTTACAAACATTCCTCAGTGATATCTCAGAAGACAGGACAAGTCACGCGGGATCGTTAGGTGTGTACATGCATTTGGCTTCCCTCAATTGGAGAAAGCTTCGCAAAAACCAAAAATCAATCCTTTTTAGGAAGTTATGGATGCGCTTCTGTATTTTTTTTTATCGATATCTATTCGGGGATATTTGTACGTGTCACACTACTGTGTTTACACAACCGATAATGTCTTGTCAACCAGGTCAGCAGCTGTTGCGCAATTTGACCTACTGGATGCTGTGTCTCGGACCGATTATAGCGAGGGGGTTGACGATTCCAGCCCGTACCGGCACCATAAATAACTTGGCGACAAATTGTATTAGTAACGTTCTGCGGTAATTAGACCCGTGACCCCATGGCAACGGACGCATTTAGAGGTGATCAAGAGTTGTAAACTGTATCTGTCTAGGATCCATTAAATTTACGAGTTAATAAAACCTAACTGCGATGCTATGAGCAAACTGGCGAAATTTGGTGTACAGCAACCGTGATAAAGACTCACGATCATTCGGAACTGGTGCAATTTGCTAAAATGGATAAATCAGTAAACACTCAGAATTCGGTGACACCAGCTGACGTTGAGTATCTTTCCAGCAATAAAAATGTCGGACAATGAAGGTGAAGCGCGCATCGTAATTAATTTTTCCAGTCTTTCCAAATCACACATTACAGCACCAAAAAATTAGTTTTCTCGTTAATCTGCGTCCATGAAGATGACTGCTTTCACCTACGCTTCCGATTACTAGCTTACCAGATGAATTAAAACATTTGGTCTTCCTATTGCTAGCTCCGTTACTTTGCTGGTGTTTGGTAAAATTTTCTACCATTTGTGGTTGGATTCCAAGTGATTATACAGAGCAAGTTCGACTCGAGTATTTTTTGAAATGAAGCATTACCAGGTCTGGATTACTAGAGAAGCAACATGTGATCGAAAACTTTGCCCTTGTTGTTACAATGACTAAAAACCACAAAACATTAATCAGAAATTTCGGGATCTGTTTTAATTAGCTTTCGAGGCTGTTACCTTGTGATCACGCCTTTAATAAGCCAGCAAAATAATCTCTCCACACAGGTGAGGTCTAAGACGCTCCATAAGGTAGGTCAGCAACTCATTTCTAGCCAAGATTGGTGGGGGATGGCCATAGCGAAGGCTTTGTTAATTCACTTATATTTAAAACAATTGTTTCCATATTAATTAAGCATGTTAAAGAGGGTTTAAACCGAATTGAAGGCAGCCAGCGAGTAGGAATGTTTCAAGCGTTTGGTTAAGGCCAAACCATGACAGGCTCATTCTTCACGAGTTATTACATCATTTGTTACACTAAATTCGGAGAAAATTCAGTTACTAGTCTCCTAATGGTACTGATCATGTATTTCCCTGTTATTTTGCGAAATATCATCGAAAATGGAAACATTTTTTTCGAAATAATAACTCTGAAGTGTCATTTTCATATTTATTATTCCCATATTTGGAGAAGTCTTTGGCATGTTGGTGTTTTATTTCACGCTTCGACATTTTGCTGGAAACTGAAGCAAATTGCATCCTGAAAAGGCTGCCATTTAATAATCACAAAGTCCTAAGGTCAGTAGTCACTGACTGTTCAGAAAACCAATGCACTGTTTACTAAATTTTCATATATCGTTAGGCCAGACTAAAAAAATGTTTCAAGAAATCTTTTAATTTTTAATTAAAATGAGAAAAACGACTTGGAAAAGTGCAATTTAAATTTTATCAAGCTTTGGTGATATCTAACCTTAAGGATGCATTTAATCTATCTTTAAAAAAGATTTGTCAATAACTTATTGTTAGAAGAAAAAAATGAGATCCCCTTCGAAATGGGAATTTGTTGCTGTGTGGGCAAACTTCGGCTTCGCGACCCCTCCCCACTTTCCGAAGGCGCCACTTCTCACATTTCCCATGGAGATGGGAAAATTTTTTGTATCTATGTCAGGAAGATCACGTTCTTAGACGGAACAATGAGATTTTACACCCCGAAGAGGGTAGGAGACGCCTAGATCAGGACTGTTGCTGGCATTTAGCCGAGTGAAATTTCGTTCGAACTTTTAATAACTGAATTCTGAGTAATTAAAAAAGTTTATTGAGCAAATATATACATATATATCGCCCGTTTCTTCTAAACCAAAGCTGATGTAGGTAATTGCTGGAACAAATAGGCAAAGGAAACGGGACACGACTTCAACTTGGGCTTCCAGGCTTGTTAACACACACACAACAGTCGGCATACGATTGTCACAACTTTACTGCGGCACACGAGGCTTTGGCTGTCGCTAACCGCCTTTCGATGAAATTCATATGTTAAAACGGACGCATAAATTCGGCAATTCCCAATACCCGCCAACAAACTAAGACTTTCAAAAGATGGATTTGACTTCTTAGAAAGTGATCAATTACACGGAACAGATATTTGGTGAGCACGATTAAAGTCCTTGAAAATGCATCTAACTTAGTCAAAGGACTAAACCGGAGTTTAAAATAACAGATCCATTCACCAGTTCCAAAATATTAGACTACTACTTTCTAACAGTTAGTTGGATTACTAATTTTTGCTCTCCGAATGAAAAAGGTAGATTCCTTTTTGTTCAATTTTTCCGTAGTTCAGCGCATTTCTGTCCCTCTTACTTCATCAGAAACTACATAAACTGTCAGAAGTTAGCACCATTCCATTACTGGAGGTTGCCAGGTTTTCCCTTGGTTCGCATGCGGTGGAGAACGCATCCATGATATGCGAATACATCCAGCTGAATCATCGATTAAACAAACCTACATTTTTTGAAACAAATCGGCCAATGTTGAGAAAAAATGACTAGGAAATTCGTTGACTAAGTACCTAGGTGCATCTTTCAATATGAAGAATTACGAAGAGCTTTGGAAACATTGGAAGCAGCTTGGTGCAGGCTTAGGGAATATAGTGATGGAAAATGTTTTTCATTTTGATCGAATTTCGATAAGTTCAGTAAGGATTTCTTTAAACTGAATTTAAAATTTGCTGCTAATCACGTGGGGAAAAAATTGCAGTGCTTTTTTTACTTTTGTTCTGGTTTCTGAGTCTTTGGTAGACGTTTTTTATTGATGATCGACCCTGTAACACTTCAAGACTTATCAGAAGCAAGTTCAAATCTTTGTTAGGAAAACAGGGCACTTACTACTTTTTAATTGACTTACACCATACATTTTACAAACTTTATCCTGTTCCCATAGTATTATTACAGGAATTTTTTTTAATAAGACGTAGTCATTTTGACTGAACTACAATGGGGTAATGAACACAACCCAGAACTTTCTGAACAATAAACCAGAAAACTTAATTTTCTGGTTTTCACTCTGCAATCACTACAACCGGTCAGGTGTTGGTTTCTTTTAACGTAGGCGCGCCCCAACACTTGAAATAATCAATAGGCTCTATGATATGCAACTCAAATGCTACAATCGATATCTAGACAGCTAGCGTCATAGCCTCATGCGTCAAAGTATCCAAAACTGCCATGGCAATGCATGAGTCACACGAAAATCGAATTGGGCCTACCTCATCACCGGGTTAGATTAGATAAAAAAGTGCGCCACACAATGTCAATTGCGCATCATCGCCGACGGTGAAGAGACTGTACTTTATTAATGCAGAACAGATAATTTTAAACTAATCAGCTTACATTCATGCGGTAGACACAAGTATTTATGTCAGGTCCAGCT